ATTTGAATTCAATAAATTAAAACTTTTTGAATCAAATTCTACAACTTAAAGCTCTAAATAGATATCTTTTTCTTCTATAGTTATTTTAAAGTATACTTAAAAATAGCTGCAACTAATAATTAAATCATAGATCTTAATCTTAAAGAAACACTCAATAAATTCTCTTTAATATTTACAGATTTACAAATTTTAGCCAGAATTATTGCCTATTATAACATCACTCAAATCTCTAAACCAACTATTGTAAAATTTAAAAAAAATCTAAAGAAATTATATTTTGATTAGGCAAACTAATATTTAATCAAAAAGTTTAAGATCTCTTTCCCTACTATATTGTATACAGACTTTATTGCTACAAATTCTAATACTCAACAACAATAACAACAACAACAACTGATTAGCTCTACTACAAAATCTAAACTTCAAACAACAGCAGCACTATTCTAATAAATCTACTATGAAATTTAAAATTCCTAATATTGATAAAAGTCTCTTTCTAATTTAAAACTTATTTTATATTTTATACTTTAATACTTTAACTATATATAAGTTTTTGATTAAGTATAATAAATTTTTGATCTGTTTGTTAGCAAGTTCATAGAAATCTTTAAAAGTAAAAGCAGTAAAAAAGGTAGTAGTATAAGGTTGATTAGATAAAAATATAGAGTTATTAATAGTTGGATAAATATATTTAAAAGCAGATAAGGTTTAAAAAAAAAGTTTAAAAAAATGAGTAGTTAAATTGTAAAGATTATGTGTAGTATTTAATATAAGAATTATGCATTTGGTAAAGTCTATATATGTATATATATAATATAATACAATTTTGATAGCAGTATTTGTATGGTCTTGAATAGAACTATAAAGCTTTTCTAGACAAATTTGCTTGAAAAATTACTATAAATATAATTATGATCTATTTTTTTAAATTTTAATATATTTAAATAAAATTTTTTAATAATATTTAAAAATAATTATATTATAGCAATATTTAATTTTATTACAGATTGAATAAAGATATATCAGATAAATATCAGAATGCTGATATGTACCCTAAAGTATAATAAAAATTTGCCAATAATTACTTCCTATATGTATCTGATATGATTTCTATATTAAACAAAAATTTAACTAATATAAGATATTTATCAGATAAATATCAGTACTATATTAGTGATATATCAGTACCATATTAGTAATCTGATTTGTAATATAGAAAACCCAATATGTATCCTATGTTTCTCTAAAACTGAATACATATCAGATATAAAAACTTATTGGTATAAACTATATTTATTATAAAAGTTAAATTTATATAATATAAATTAAAATTTTTTATTTAAAAAAATAAATTTAAATCCTATATGCTAAATACAAAAATATAAATTTAACAAAATGAAATCTCTAACCCCAACCAAGTATCCTAACTATGATAAAGAAAGATCTTATTATATAATAATCAGCAGAATAATACAGCAATAACAAATTCAAATTTGACGTAATATAATATAATTAGAAAAAATCAAAACAAATATCTGTATTTGAAAATCGCTTATTTCTCAAACATTTTCATAAAACAACTATCTTCTGTGCTCTAACAAAAAATTTTTCTTAAGGAATTATAAATAAACTTTAAAAACTTTTTTGGTTATCAAATAACAAGTTTATTTTCACCCAATAGCGATTTTGATATCAATTTTAGCAGCAACTTTAATAATGACCAACAACAGCTCCAACAGCAATTTTTGTGACAATTTCAATAGTGATTCTATAATTAGCACACCGAGAGCGAAGCTGGAAGTCTATTTAAAAAACCTACATCATAAACATCAGAAGTAATGAAAAAGGAAGCAAACCCTAAAAAAGAAGAAAGAAGTGAGTATACTGTTAGAGACATGACAAAAATTAGATAATTTTTTAGGAGAGGGGTAAAAAAAGTTAAAGTTATATATAAGAACCTAATTTTTTTTATATTAAGAGGGGGAGGGGGTAAGTCTCTGATAAAAAATAATCAGATAATAAATGACACTGCTCTTATATATATTTAAAAAAAAAACAAAAAAGAGATACTTATAAGAAAGTACACTAAAAAGTGAAATCAAAAATCTATTTTAAAATTTTATATCATAGGTATCGAAAGCAATAAGAAAGAAAGCTAGAACCTAAAAACAAAAGAAAGAAGTTAGTATTTATTATATATATTAAACAAAAAAAAAGAATACTTATAGTGCTCGACAAAAGTTTTTCTGTATCTGTAATTTTCAAAAGAACAGATATGGTAGCATAAAATTTCATACAGGGATAGTATATCATATATGTAGATTATACTAACCTTCTATGACAGGATATATAGTAAAAATATCTATGCTGCTTATATACCCAATTTTTAGCCAAAAAATATCTCTTCTTTTATATCAACAATATGAAATCGTATTTTTAGCAGTTCACCTGGAAGGCTCTAAGCTCTTAATGCATGAGACAGTGAAGCAGGTTCACTGCAATAAAAAAGCAGTGAGATATTAGATAAAAAGGTGGCAAGAAGACAAAAACCTAAGTAACAAAATAAGGTAAGGTCGTAAAAGAACCACCACTCAAAAGCAAGACAAACAGATTTTGGGGCTGGCAAAAAAAAATGAAGATATCATGACCCCAGAAATCTGCCAGGAGCTGCTAAAGAAGAACATAGACATTCACGTGCATACTATTCAATAACACCTTGGTGAAGGTAGGATTTGCTACTACAGAAAACTTTTAAAACCTTTGATTGGAGAGAAGTATCGAAAAAAATACCTCTTGTGGACGAAGAAGCATAGAGATTTCAACTGGAATTCAGTAATATTTACAGATGAAAGTACCTTTCATTTGAATCAATAGCTAAAAAAAACTTGACAGTTCACTGAGAAAAGAAAAATAACCTGGTTCATATATGGGCTGTTTTTTTTCTTCGAGCTTTGACAGGTTGATCTGCTTTATGTATAATCTTAATGCACAATATATGATCACCCTGTATGAACTGAGCCTTTTGCCTTCTGCTAAGGTTCTTTTTGATAGATATTGCAATAATTGGATTTTGCAAGAGGATAATGACCCAAAGCACCATTCGAAAATCATGAAGGCATGAAAGGAAGAAAATAATATCAAAGTTCTTCCTGGCAATCGATGTCACCTAACCAAAACCTGATCGAGAATGTCTGGGGGGTTATGAAAATGAACATGACAAAAAAAAAAATTAGAACCCTTAAAAGTCTAAAGAGCGAAATAACAAAAGAATGGAACTCCTTACCTAAGGAGTATGCGGCTAAATTATTTAGTAGTATGAAAAATCACATTGAAACCCTAATTGAAGCTGAGGGTGATTATACAATGCGTTAATAATCATGTATTATTGTAGTTTTTAATATAAAAAAAATTTTTTACCTACTATACATCCTTGCTGAGTTAGAGGTGTAGAAAAACTTTTGTCGGGTACTGTATAAGAAAAGAACACCAGAAAGCAAAACCGAAAATCCATTCAAAAAATCTACATCATGGGTGCCGAAAGTAATGAGGAAAGAAGCTAGAACCTAAAAGAAAAAGAAGAAAGAAGTTAGTATGCTACTTATATTAAAAAAAAAATAATACTTGTAGGAAAAGAACGTCAAGAGACACCGGGAAGCAAAACCGAAGGTCCATTCTAAAGAATAACACTATGAACACCGAAAGTAACAAGAAAGCATACTTAGATTACGATAAATAAAAAAGATAGAATGTAATTAGAAGCTGTGTTGCATAAATCTGGTAAAGAATAGTAGAAAACGTTCTCAGCTAATCAGATTCAAGATTTTATTAACGGTTTAGACACTCCGTTTCATTACATTTTTGGCATGCAAGATTACGAAATCCAATATTTTTCATGTAATAATTAATTACAATAAGAATTAAATATCAAATACTGCCTTTTCAGATCTTATTTTTACGACACATCCCCGTTTTAGTGAAACCTCACTAAGTGTAATTTATTAAATGTAACATCCCTCTAACTGCAACGTTAAATCCGGTTTAAATATATACTTGATCTTTATAATTGCAATTTTTTTTTGTCTTTTAAATGCATGTTATCAAAAGTCAGTCTATATTTTTACGAAGAAGATTTTCGGTTCACTATGTTCTTGTGATTTGTATTACAGTACTAAATTGAACCATACAGTTCGTGATTTGTATCACTACGTGAGTCAATTATGTACATACCGACCGATACTGTACGTAGAGTTTGGAATCGGTTTTATTTTTTCGTTATTAAAACTAGTTAAAACCGGTTTTAACATGAAAAATAAAACCGGTTCTAAACTACTGTTATCATGTGCACTTACGTACGTACGTACGTACCTCGACAGGAATTTAGTTACATAAACTACCATTTAGGATTCTAAAGTATAAACGTAAAATAGAAAACCTTCAAAGAAATATCCAAAATTGCAATTTGTGTAATGTGTGTAACCATTATATGTAATGTAATTCATTTGAAAATTGAAATCTTATTCCATAACATATCTAAAAGTTCACAACTACATTATCTCTCATTTATAATAATATACAAATTTTTTTTTCATAATAAAATAACTAATCTAATTATGGACTGTATGTTTTTTTATAATATTATGATTAAGTATCGTAATCTTGAAAAAAAGGGTCTTATACCGTATTCTACCATAATTAAGTACTGTACCATCCTCTTTATCTCATTTTTTTAAATGTTTATTCAATAAAGACCGAAGGCCAGGCCTCACAAAAAAAAAAAAAAAAAAAAAAAAAAAAATTTTTTTTAAATGTCAGATTAGTGAGAATAACTTGACTAAAGTTCTTATTACGATTTCCGCTAATATGGCATTTTAAACAAAATGGGGTAAAGGGATGTTGCTTATTTACGACGGTAAAATACGTTAACTATGATTGTATTACAATATTAACGTTTTCTGTGTTATATTTATACTCAAATTGCAGACCAGGTTATTGCAAATGAGATGATTGATCTTGGCTATGAAATTGTTGATTTCCAATATAATACATGGCAAATCACAAACTGGAGAAGTTTGGAAAAGAGGACAACAGGTCCTGAATTTGAAGCTGGAGGTTGGAAATGGTAGGTTCACTTAAATATATGATTTGATTGTAATTTCATGTTCTAATTATTATACTTAAATTTTAGGCGCATTTTGCTTTTTCCTTCAGGAAACAATAATTTGGATGTTGTTTCAATTTATTTGGATTTTGCTGATCTAAAAGGTGCACCTGCCGGTTGGCATTGCTGTGCGCAATTTGCTTTGGTATTATGGAATCCAGAAGATCCAACATTCTATGTTTCTCATTGTACGTACATATTAAATTATTTATCATTTGGTAGTCAATGCCACTAATATTCTAATTTTTATTAATAGGTGCGCATCATCGTTTCACTGCCGAAGAGTCAGATTGGGGATTTACGCGGTTTTACGATTTAAAAAAACTGTTTGTCCCATCAGATAATCATACTCGCCCACTGATAGAAAATGGTACCTGTAATATTACGGCCTTCGTTCGCATTATAAAGGACCCAACTGGTTACTTATGGCATAACTGTATAAAGTATCCTATCTTCTTTTAAAATTATATTATGACTTTATATCTATTTTTTTTCATGCAAACTTTTTTATATAGTTACGATTCAAAAAAAGTGACAGGATATGTTGGCCTAATAAAATGGAGAACAATAAATGATAAAAACAGGGGAGCAATGGCAATGGATTTTAAAAACTGGGGAGCAACAAGTTATTTAAATGTCGAGTTGCAATTATTATATAGCATAAAATATTTTCGTAAGGTTAGCGTTTCCACTTGATCTAAAAATGAACCTTTTTACATCAAATCTAATAGTTTCCTTTTTGATTATAGGCAATATATCAAATCCCCACAAAAGATGATGAACTAATCAGAAGTATTCCTTTAGCCATGCAAAAGGTTTTTTATCAATTACAAGAATCAGATCGTACAATTGGAACGGCTGAATTAATGAAATCTTTTGGATGGGATTCGTCAGATTGTTGTATAGCGCATGATGTACAGGATTTTAATAGAGTATTGCTAGATAATTTAGAGGATAAAATGAAGGTAGGCTTATGATTTATTAAATTAAACCATATTAAAATTTTATAATTATAAATTTGCTAACACTCCTATCTGTATTTAAGAATACAAATGCGGATGGTGCTATTTCAAAACTTTTTGCAGGAAAGATGAAGAGTTATGTTAGATGTGTCAACATAAATTATGAGAGTTCACGTATTGAAGATTACTATGGTATATAGTAGTAAATAAATATATACCTATAAATTTTAACATTAAGTAACATTAATTTTATTACGATAGATATTCAACTTAATGTAAAAGTGTGCAAAACTTTAAATGATTCTTTCCTAGAATATATTCGTGAAGAAAAATATGGCTTGCAGGTGAGTTATATTTTGGCCATAATGTTTTGCTGAAAGTTACATTAAATGCAAAGGTTTTGACTCGAATTGTCTATAGGATGCAAAGAAAGGGGTAATTTTTGAAAGTTTTCCACCAGTACTACGAATACAATTAAAACGGTTTGAATATGATATGCAAAGAGATGCTATAGTTAAGGTATTTGTTAATACCTCTAGTCTTTAATTTAGTGATTCGCTGATTGAAAATCAATATAATACATTAATACATACTATACACAGATAAATGACCGTCTTGAATATCCTATGAAAATTAATTTACAAAGCTTTTTATCATCAGATAGCGATAAGTCTAAACCTCATAATTATTTACTTCATGGGTTTGTAAATGTGAATTCAATATTTCAATGGATATGATTTTTAAACACATTAATAACTTTTTTTAATAACTTTTTTTTTATTCTAAATAGAGTAATTGTTCACAGTGGTGATTTACATGAAGGCAGATATCACGTTTTTTTAAAACCAGAAAAGAATGGCAAATGGTCTGAATTTTAACCAATCAATTAAAATCTTTAGATTGTAATAATAAGTTAGATAACTAACATTAATTATCATAAAAGGTTCAACTTTAATGATGAAATAGTTACGCCTGTAATAGATAAAAATGTCCTTGAAGATAATTACGGGGGTGAAGTTCCTAAATACTATAAAACAAGTGTTAACCGATATAGTAGTGCATATATATTGGTATATATCCGTGAATCTGATATCGACTTCGTACTATCTCCGATACTTGATGAAGATATACCGGAACATTTGCGTAAGTATACTCATTTATGAAACGCTTTAGTTTGAAATTTGTTATGAATTTATCTTTCGTATGCATATTTAATAGAAAGGCGCTTAAATGAAGAGAAGGCTTTATATGAACAGAAAAAAAAAGAAGTTGAAGAGCGTCATTTATATTTGTCTTTTAAGGTAATTACGAAACGAAATTGTGAGAAATAATAATAATTTTAAATTATTGCGGTTTAAACTTTACCAAACTCAATATTAGATTGTGACCCCAGCTACTTTTGGGCGTCATCAGGGGTTTGATCTCGCTAATTTTGACAATCAAAAATATCCAATATCTGAAGTTCCACAATTTAAAGTTTTAAAGAGTGAAACATATAGGACTTTCAAAGCTATGGTCGCTCAAAAAATCGGAATTCCATCCGAACAAATAAGATTGTGGGTTCTTGCAAGGCGCCAAAATAAAACTGTCAGGCCAGATACTCCAATACCAGACAATTTTCTTGACATGAGTGAGTCATGTGTAAAATACAGTTCTTTCCTCTTCTCATTTCACAATAAACTTTTTATATTTTATAACTTCGTGATGAATAGCAATGGAAGAAATCTACACAGAAATGTCTTTGAGAAAAGATAATCTGAATTTGTTTTTAGAGGTGGCAGATAAACTTATCAACGATAAAGTAGTACCTATTATTCAATAACATTTGTATATATATGATTAAACATGCCTTTTCTTACCATTTCAACTGTTATTTCTTTGATACATAAATGATTTACAATGTTCGGGTGTTACTAGTTATTATTAGAAAATATGCATGTTTATACCAATATCTACAAAAAAAGTTTCTAAACATGTATTTATTCAATACCTAATCCATGGGACCAATAGGCGAATAGATTATTAAAAAAAACAGGGCTAAAATGCTCGGCAACAATAATATTTTGGTCCGTTTCGTCAATGTAGTACATTTTGAATGTTCCAAACTTTTTTGGACTTGTCCCATCAACTTCTCAATACATAGCTTGAAAATCTAAATTAAAGTAATAATAAATATACGTAAATTAAATTTTACCCATTTTTATTTAAGTTCTAAAAAAGGTTGTCTTAATAAAATCTTGAGCTATTGACATTTATTTAAAATTTCAAATTTGTTCCGACCTGTCCCGTCAAATATACAACACTGCGTGAAGATTAGCAGAATTAAGTTTCTACTTGCACATGTAAGGGCCAAGATACAGTGACAGTCAGAAACAATGCAGCAAACATTAATTTTTATGCAATTTCTATTTGTACACTTGTGTATAAACATATGCACTTATACGTAACAACTTAAAAATTTTGCTTATTGTTTTCATACAAAATTTTAATATAAACTATAGATTACTCAAACATTGACCCTAGTCTAATCGGGGTTTTTTTTTTGTATTTAAATTTTATGTTACATGGATCAACAAATTATATTTGTGTTTCGTAAATCTAATTTCTTATAATAAAACATCGTAATTATTAGATAAAATTATAAGTTGTGCCTTATGTTTGTAATAAATTCATTTGTCATTATATTTATAATCATTTTATGAATTGTAAATATTTAAGTAAGACATACAATAGATTTCTAAACTCCTGAGTTCATCTAATAGGGTGAATTGACATTGATACTATTTTGGTTTACCGTATATAATGATGAATTACTTGGCGTTGAAGCATCTATAAACTACAAAATTTAGTTTATTATTATGACTCAAGGCACTATACAAATATTATCAAGGCATCACACAAATATCATCAAGGTATTACAAATATCATATTTCTGGGTCCGTATTATTTCACCGACAATCACTTCGCCGACAGCTCATTTAGCCGACATCACGCCAGGTGAAATTTAGTAAAAGTATATACCTGCACTAATCAAATGCTTAACCCTAACCCTATGTGATGTCGGCTAAATGAGTTTCGGTGAAATTATTGTCGGTGAATTGATCGGAACCGATATTTCTTAAGTATACAAGTTCTTATTAACTAGTTTTAAAATTTTATTGTCACGGCTGAAGCTGGAAATTTTAAATACTTTAATATGAAATTTTCAAAAATTTTTGGGGTGCATTTTTTGGCTTTTTTTTAATAGTTAGCTTAGGATTTAGGGTTAGTTTTGATAATAAAAATGTTTAAGTGAGTTTTGATAGGCTCCCTACTTTCCATCTTCTGCAGCCGCGACATTTATCAACCAGAAAAATAAACATTTAATATGGCAAATTATATTAATTATTAAACTTTGTTTATGTCGTAAGTTGGAACAGAATTATTGTGTATTTAAAACCCACTTAGGTTGGAATAGAACTCAAATTTAGCCCAAGTTAACACGAAATTTAAAAGCAACTTAAGTTGATTCAAATTTGAATCTGTAATAATTAATAAATTTAATAGCAATAAATATATATATATAATCTATTGACGTGAAGATAGTTAAAATAAATTACACCATATTGTCATGATAAATTGTTAAAATACAAAATGCTGATTAATTTCTTTTTCTTATTTCGCTTTTTCGTCATTTGCAAAACTCTACCCAGTGACTGAATCTCAAGATTATCCATTTTTACCTCATAATACATTCAAAGAATTGCTTTCCGAATATTTTAGCAACAAATCGACTAATAGTCGATATAAAACTTTATAACGCATGAATTTGATTTTTGTATTAAGGTTGTACAAGAACCAGAAAATACAGTCGATTCAGGATATAATGAACCTTCCTATACCGAATTCTGGATATGACGAACTTAAATTTTGGAATTTCACAATAGTTTAGTATAAAAAGTAGTGATGGGCAACGCGCGGGATTTTTAATATAAGATTATCTGGCCTGCGTTAGTATATTATCCGGCCTACATTTAATATATCATCCGGCCTGCCTGCATTAACATAAGTGGGCCAATTTCTAATTAGTAATTGCACAATAACCCTTAAAATACCCGTCTAAAAAATTTCGCCGGCCAATTAAATTTCAAGATCAGGTGTAACGTTAAAACAAACGTTCGTTTTGTCAAAAATCGCTCATAACTCAAAATTTAGTCTATGAAACTGCCTACTGTGCACTAACAAAAAGTTTTCCTTGCGAAATTTTGCTATAGCTATAACCCTCTAAGCCGGCCTACGACCTATTAGCAAGACCCTAGCCCTAAACTAATCGCGAACCCTTTTTTAGTGAAAAATTTTTATAAGATCACATGATGTGCGAAATTTTTTAGACTGGTATTACTAGTCTTATACATAT